TTTATTTGAACAGTGAGAGACAGAATAACAAGAAGAAAATCAAAAAAAAAACGCATGTCAAAAATCTTATAAATTGATTTGCATTTTAATGAGGGAAATAAGTATTTGACCCCTCTGCAAAACATGACTTAGTACTTGGTGGCAAAACCCTTGTTGGCAATCACAGAGGTCAGACGTTTCTTGTAGTTGGCCACCAGGTTTGCACACATCTCAGGAGGGATTTTGTCCCACTCCTCTTTGCAGATCTTCTCCAAGTCATTAAGGTTTCGAGGCTGATATTTGGCAACTCGGACCTTCAGTTCCCTCCACAGATTTTCTATGGGATTAAGGTCTGGAGACTGTCTAGGCCACTACAGGACCTTAATGTGCTTCTTCTTGAGCCACTCCTTTGTTGCCTTGGCCGTGTGTTTTACTGGATTACTTACTAGTTCCTACTCCAGCGTGGCTCAAGTTCCCTTTCCAGAACTTCCAACCTCAATCCACAGAATCCCAGACCACAGAATCTGTCACTATCTTCAAAAAACAGCTAAAAACCCAGCTCTTCCCTGAGCACTAAACTAACCTCTAAAACACCAACCCACATTATACTTCATTTATTAAAAAATTTTTTTACTCTGGCTCTTCTACCTCTACTCTGTGCACTTCGCTTGTCTAGAACTCCATTATAAATCTTGTATAGTAACACTACTTGTATTCTTCTCCGCTTGATGTATCGCTTCGCTTGTATTTCCTCATTTGTAAGTCGCTTTGGATAAAAGCGTCTGCTAAATGAATAAATGTAAATGTATGGAGTTAAGAAGTGATTTTAAAATGTGTTAGAGATGTGTAATGATGGAAGAATATTTAAATCACACATTATGTGCAATAAAATGGAAACACTGTTTAGGTTTAAGAACAGAGGATACATCTTGCGTTGATAAAAAAAACGCTTCTCTCGGCTGTGATTAAGTTTGAAGCGGACAGTCAATGGCTGATGTGTTACTTTCAGGACACATCAGCCGAGCGGACGTGATGAGGACGCCCCATATCGACAGCATAACCACACTCGTGTTACTTAACCGGTGATCAGACATTTCAAAACACTTGAAAGAACACACCAGAAAAAGGTAAATGAAGGAGACTGGAATGTAGGAAAATGTCTTTATTACTGTATAATATTACTTATGTACATGATTGGAAACGATTCCTGAAAAGACTGATTTGGGATAAGGAGCTCACTGAGATTATGCTCAGCAGACAGGTTGCAGGGTCAAAAGGTCGATCTGTTACAATATACACCTTTCCTTATAGTAATACATAGGAACGAAGGCTCGTATCCAGCCTGCGCATTAGAATAACGACGAGGCATTTCCAGGCATCATAGCTACACAGGTCTCTTCTGAATTAGAAGCATAAACAGGAGCCAACCTAAATTCATAAATATTATAACCCTGACTATGCTCATGCCTCCAAAACACAGCAGCAGCAGAAACGTCGTCAGGAAGCTATAAATATATGTACATTACACTTTCAGCTAAAGAAGCGAAACCAGAGTGGAAATAAAAATACCACTGCGCAACAGGAACGAAATCAAATAAACAAACAATAACAAGAAAAAACAAACAAACAAAAAAACATGAACAATCTTCTTATCGGTACCTAAAAATGAACAATTTGACAGCTGGGTGATGCTGCACCATACGAGCAGTGTCAGGATCATCCGAGCGCAGGCAGTAATGTGGAATCTGCGTCTAAATTTGAGAGTACTGTAGTGTATTCAGTAGTGTATAATCCAGTGTAATAAACATATACGACTTTTCTCCTGTCACAACAAAAGTCCTAATAAGAACAGCATAAAAATGATATATATATATTTTTTTTAAAAGACAACCAACCATCCATAAATATTTATTTTTGGCTTTCACATGCTAGAGAGGTTTCGATGAACAAATTCATGCCAACTTGGCATCAACTCCTAAAAATTCTTCATCCTTTATCATGACTTACACGTCCTATTTATTCAGTATCTGTATACTGTTCATTTAGACTGAATATTCTACAGACAGAGAAAGAACTATCAGAGATCAGTAGTACCTGTGAGTGTACGCGCAACAAAAAAACAAACCCACAAAAATACAAGAAAAGCAATCTTCAAGGAAAAAAAAAGGAAGAAAGAAAAAAAACCCATCCTAGCGGGGGAAAACAATGATACATACAAACTATTTACAACTTGCATATCAAGAAGATAAGGGAGAGTGAGCAGGAACAGGGCAGTAGTACTGATTATACTGTATAAAAGGTTCCTGTGTGGTATAGTAGTCAAAAAATAGTGTCTCAGAGCTGAAGACACACTTTAAGCTCAGGTTTAACAGCTCATCCTGTCTCCACATGCACACTACGCCAGAGCACTTGTAAAAGTACTAATGCTCTATCAAGTTGTAGGTAAATTCTACCTAACTGGCGCACTCCCTGTGAATATTGCATAAACCTTTCATCTACTCAACATTTCCAGTGCTTTGACGGTTAAAAAAAAGGCATATTGCCAAATAGATACTGTTAAATTGGTCATACTGTTGCTACGGGATGCTACAGCGATAAGTGAAAAAAGAAAATTCATCAGTGTGTGAATTGGGGTTATGTTCAGAGTGCTTCATCCCACCAATCAATCCCATCAGTGTCAGAGCAGCTTAAAAAATATTTCAAAAATCACCCCATTACTTGTAACTTAGTTTAGTATCTAATCAACCTAAACCCAAAAGAGATGGAGATATACACTACTGTACCTTTCCAAAAATACATACTATATACATTTAGCTTTACTTACGGAGTGAAAGAGAAATCCAATGACGCTAAAGCACAAAAGAGAAAATGGAGAATGTTAAAGCTAAAATAAATACACAATGTACCATTCACAGAGTGTGTGACTGAGTCATAGAATGAGAGAGATTATCCAGTTCTCTCTTTCTCTCTCTCACACACACACACACACACACACACACCTTCCATGAATGAATGAATGAATGAATGAATGCAGCAATAAATGCAGTATCAACAGATTAATTCATGAAAAAAAGAAGGAAAAAAAATTTTAGGCACTCTCCAGCTTTCCTGAAGCCACTCCACTGAACACATACATCAGTAGTGCGAGAATATAACCCAACACACATTTCTTTAGATCATTTTTTCCCCATATAGTTGTCCCTGAAGTGACCTACCTCATCTATCTTTTATTTAACCTTCGTAAAAGTATACGCACCCTCGATTAAACCGAAAGCTAAAGCTTAAAATAGCACCTGCATTCAAGTAAGATACTCTGCTAACGTTTAACAACCCATATTCCTACAAGAGTGAGACACACTGAGTGCAATAAGATCTGTACAAACCCACATTCGAATTTCACTTCTTGACACGATAGCAGCCCAGAACTCGATTCAGTGACATGTTAGGAGTGAAATATTTGGGAAATATTTGGGAGGATGAACATCAATAGCAGTTTTAAGATTATAGGGGCAGCAGAGCTCGCAGTAGATCAGCAGGATCGAGACTTGCAGTCTGCGGTCAGACGTTAAAAAGGGATGGAGGAGCAGTTGAGTTCAAGAACATGATGCAATACAATTTAGTTAGTAGTTTTGGCTTTGTGGGTGAGGTAGGCCCCGTCGCAACTCGACGGACGGCGTTACGTTTGCTTAAACTGGCAGGATAGTTTGGAGTAGTGGTAATTTTTGTACACTTTCTTTGTTACAGTGTTCTCTGACCGTCACGCTGCTTGGGCTTCTTTCACATCTTGACGTCCTCGTCCATGCTGAGTTGAGACAGGGTCTTTTTGATGCGCAGAGCGGTCAGTCGAGCGGCACCGTTGGCATACCAGCACTCCCTCATGATCTTCCCCATCACACGCAGCGCCTGAGAGAGAGACAGACAGTGAGAGAGACAGTGAGAGAGACAGTGAGAGGGGGAAATTTGCGTCCATCTGGGGGGCAATATTCTTAGTGAGTGTGGGGTGTGTGTACCTCATAGCTCTGCCACCAGTTGGGCACATTGGGTCGTAACCTCTGGTCACACACCACCTTTCTCATCTCTTCAATGGATGGGTCAGAGGGCACCAAGTCATAGTAGGGGAGCTGGTACTCCTCATGGATACCTGACACAAACACACAACACGATATGCAAGTTTGCTAACGATAAATAATATTTTTTTTAAATGTCCAAAATTGTAACATCAAATCCACTGATCTAATGGAGAATAGAATTGTTATAAAACTACTGACAAAACCTGCAAGACCTCAGAAAAGTGTACAGTGACCATTTCTGATGGTTGACAAAAAAATGTAAACATTTGAACAATATTGTAACAATATTGATATTATATAGACTTTATATCTAACTCCTGTTGACTGTGTCGATGAAATTTTTTATAAAACAGCGGTAGTGCTTGCTACCCGGTTTATATTAATGCACTCGTTCTAATTCTTCATTGTTTCTATAGCAACAATTCACACAGGACTTGTTTGGCGGATGCGCAGCAAAACAGGAAAAAATCTTTTTAAAAAAACATTTCCAAACGTGCAAAACTGTTGATGTGGTGAAGTTTTCTGTATGGGGAGGTTTAACATTCATGGGAAGAGAATGTCCAGTATCAGCTCTCCGAGAGGCTGGTGAAGGAATGACTGTGTAAGTGATAACAGGAACCAACTTGTTTTTGCAGACATTCTACAAAATGAAATGCAATTATAAATGGATTTTTTTTAAAACAAAAAAACTATGACATCATCCATCCATTTTTCATACCGCTTAACCTACACAGGGTCATGGGGGAGGCTGAAGCTTATCCTAGCTAACTCGGGGCACAAGGCGGGAGACACCCTAGATGGATGCCAACCCATTGCAGGGCGCAATCACACACACAACAGACAATTAAGCGATGCCAATCAGCGTACCATGCATTTGGAAGGGAGGGGGGACCAGAGTACCCAGAGGAAACCCCTGAAGCACAGGAAGAACATGTGAGCTCTGCGTACGCAAGGCAGAGGCAGGAATCAAACCCCCAACACTGGAGGTGAGAGGCAAACATGCTAACCACTAAGCCACTGTGCCCCACCTTGCCATGACATAATTTAATTAATTAAAACATAATGGTGGGCAGATTGCTATGGTATAAGTAGAATAAAACATTTTGGGATGTGCTGTTATTGGAAAACAATCCACTTTGGGGTTGCACCACAATTCCACTTGCATCAGACTCATCATACCACCCTTTTGTTCGTTAATTTCCATTAACAACATGCCCAGTCATGTTTTATTCCTTACATTCTGTCCAGCCCAACTATATCTGATTCATACATACAGACATACATACATACATACATACATACATACATACATGATTAAAAACCATTTCTCTTATGTAACATCAATCTCAAAATGAAAAATGTGTATTCCACCTGTCTGTATGTTTCTCTGCCTGTCTGCCTCATCAAAGAGTTCAGCTTTCTATTTTTACCTAGGTGCAAACAGACCTGGCCTTGTATTTTTCTCTCTCCAAGCTGTTCTCTGCCTGATGTGCACTATTCCAGGCCAGCTGATTGCAAGCATGCTGCCCTCGCAAGAGAAAAAAAACCCCCATCATCCTTAAAACCATAGTGATGGCATTTAAGTAGCAGCCTTTTAGCGCGCATAGATTCCTGTCGTGTTGCTCTGCTTTTCAGATTGAAAAATGTCAATACTGGTAGCCCACTCTTTAGCCTTGTTGCTTGTACTTCTAATATCTGTGCCTGTGTCTTATAACGAGAGCTAATACCCTTCTCCCTCAGGCTGGTCTCACCTCCGGCATTACAGCGGCGAGCGATCTCCCAGTACACCAGCCCTAGCGCATATATGTCAGCACATTTAAAGGAGTCAAAGTGGCACATGTTGATACTCTCATCCAACACCTCAGGAGCCATGTACCTGAAACACACACACACCAAACTTTTCAGATACAAACACAAGCAGTGTTCACTACAACACTTGGTGGTATTTGGCTGACTTTTTGTTTAAATGTGGGGTGTGTGTGTGTGTGAGTGTGTGTGCACGTGTGTACCTCTTGGTGCCCACACGCTGGTTGGGGGCGATGTCTATTGTATCTGTAACAGACTCATGGCGTACTGCGAGGCCCAGATCAGCGATGGCACACGTGAGATTCTTCTTTACCAGAATGTTCTTTGATTTCAGGTCACGGTGAGCAATACCAGGCTTACCTGATTGATAAAAGAAAGAGTAAGAAGATCCCATTAACTTACGGAAAGCGAAAACATTCTCACTTGTCCTATAGCCATGTCTAATCATCCAAGGTATTTTTTAATGTTTAGTAATCGAAAACAAAGGCAACTGGACTTAATAAACAGATGTGACACCAGACAGCGTTCACCAGTCCTACTTCTAAAACCAATGGCAAAATGTTTACGAACGCAGGAGATGCAGCTTCGACTTATTACCACCATACATCTGACTGTTTAATTCACTACAAAATAATCCGGTGATCTGACTAAAGCATACCCTGAGTGCCCAGGATCTCCATATGCAGGTGTGCCAGGCCACTGGCAGCAGAAAGTGCCAGTTTGATCATGATCTCAATGGTAACGGAGTATCGGTTCAGATAGTCGAACAAAGAGCCGTGCTCGTGATAATCAGACACCAGCCACAACTGAGTCCATGTGCCATTATCTGAAAGAAACAAACAGAGTAAAGCCAAGATTACATTCATTTATACTTTTGTGTCCATTAGAAAACATCATTAAAACGGAAACATGCCTATATCTAGGTAGAAAGCATTCATATTTGTCTGAGGTGTAAAAGCTGGTGTGTCAATACAAATGAGTTTGCATTAAGGGGAATGCAATGTTCTTCTGCAAATAAAAGATGCAGCAAAAGGGCATTCTAGTACCATACTCTACAGTATGCTAACACAGTATGCCATTTAGGTAACTACAGTAAAATACACTCACTGAACACTTGTACACCTACTCATTCGTGCAATTATCTAACCAGGCAATTTTTTTGGCAGCAGTGCAGCACATAAAATCAAGCAGATACAAGCCAGCAGCTTCGGGTCATGTTCACATTAACCATCAAAATTGGGGTCGGGATCTAATTTCACTGATTTTGATTAGCAAGATTTTTGGGCTGGTTTGAGTGTTTCTATAACAGCTGATCTCCTGGGATTTTCACACATAAATTAGTTTGTAGAGTTTACTCAGAATGGTGTAATAAATAAATAACATCCAAGGAGCAGCAGTTCTGAGGATGGAAATGCATTGTTGATGAGAGAGGTCAATGGAAAATGGCCAGACTGGTTTGTGCTGACAGAAAGGCCACAGTAACTCAGATAACCACTCTGTACAACAGCGATGAGAAGAAAAGCATCTCAGAATGCGCAACACGTCGAACCTTGAGGCAGATGGGATACAACAGCAGAAGACCACATTGGGAAAATGTAGTCTGGTCTGATGAATCTCATTTCTGCTGAGGCACAGAGATGGAAGCAGAATGAATCCATGGACCCAACCTGCCTGTCAACAGTCCAGGCTGGTGGAGGTGGTGCAATGGTGTGGGGGATCTTCTCTTAGCACACTTTGGGCTTATTAATACCAATCAATGATCACCTGAATGCCACAGCCTATTATTAAGAGTATTGTTGCTGACTATGTGCATCCCTTTATGGCCACAATTTACCCATGTTCTAATGGCTACCATGTCACAAAGCAAAAATCATCTCAAATTGGTTTCATGAACGTGACAATGAGTTCAGTGTTCTTCAAAGGCATTCCCTATCACCAGATCTGAATCTTCTAGAACATGTTTGGGATTGTGGTAGTACAGGAGATTCACAGCATGAAAGTGCACCTGAAAAATCTGCAGGACCTGAGTAATGCATTCATGTCATTATGGACCAGAATCTCAAAGGAATGTTTCCAACATCTTGTGGAATCCATGTTATGAAGAATTGAAGCTGTTTGGAGAGCAAAGGGAGACCCTACCTAATATTAGTACAGTGTTCCTAATAAAGTGCTTGGTGAGTGTATGTTAATGCACTATTTTACATTGTAATGCAATGTAAACATTTGCGATGCAATGTTTACAACAGTAATAGTTGGTGAACAGGAAAGGCTGCATTCAGTCATAGCCCTTCCTGTGTATTAAATCAACACTCTGCTGATTACATAGCCTTGTTACCCTAGAACTGCATGATAAGGACAACAAAAACTGATGTTATAAAGCTGTTGAATAATACTAACAATGAGACTTTTTAATCATCATTTTAATGTGTCTAACAAAATGTGATACACAATCTGAAAATGAATGTTTGCTAATGTTCAAGTTTACTCATCAATAACAGGAACGTATACATAGAGCATAGTGCAGCTATATACAGTATTTCATTATTCTGTAAAAAAAAAAAATTTAATTGCTCTCCTAAGTGGCACAACAGAAAAGCATTTGCCCCATCATCAGATTACACGGAGATCACAAATTTGAATCCTATTGATGCCACAGCCAAGGGAGTGAAACTGTCTGTGCTGTCTGGATGGGAGCAATGGCATATTGTCTCTCCCCTTTCTGTCACAGTGACACTAACCAGTGTGTTTTTGAGAGTTCATGTATGTGGAATAAGGCAGACAGATGTTTCTTCCAGGTGTATTATGCTGCCCTGTGATGCATCATGAGCAGCAGAGCTTTGGCCAGCTGTTGGAGAAGCACTACAATTTTGTTTATTGCAGCCCTTGATGAAGATGTGTTCTTTGCAGAAATTCACATCTCAATAAAATACAATTAATCATGCAGCCCTATGCCCACATATTATACGCTTATTGGAAATTCCTGCCACAGTACTATTTTTCAATTTCACCCCTCCTAACCCCAGAGCCCGGACTTAACACACAGATATCCTCTCATACATATGCTGAGACCATATTATGTCAGTGATGTGGTACTCGCTATAAGTGCCAAATGCTATAACATTTCAGTTCCTTTTCTCTACTCACCTCACCCGTGCTAGGACCACTTGAAGCATTCAATGCTATTCTGTGCACCTTGTAACTGCAGACTGAGCAACAGTTTTCTGTCCTCAAATGCTAGTCATTTTTCCTCCTCTACGTTTTGCCTTCTTTTCCCACTCTTTTGACAGCTGTTACTGCTAGCCAGAAGTGCTACTACTAGCATAGCATGTTAGCTTACACTTCAGTGTCCAAGATAGCGGGGGCATTTTGCAAGTGGTTTTCTCTAGTTCATGCTCAGAGCAATTGGTTGCGACAGGGCCTAAGAGAATAGTGAAAGCAGAAGCATGAACCATTCTATGCTTAGCCTGACCTGCCATGGATCTACACTTGTGCAGCCCATTACCGAATCTCCTACAGCAGGTGGATGACCATCAGCTGCGTACCGAATGTCTCAGTTTTGACCACTTAAAGGACGCAGGTCCCCTGCACCCAATGTGAGGCAACTAGCATGCCTAAACCTTGATTCTGAGGCCTCGCACACCAAACCTGACCAGGCACCGAACTGCAAAGCCCAAGATACACCATTAAACTAAAAATCTCTAATTAAATCCATACTGGATTTTAGAGGACTGAATTTGTTCCTAAAAGTGCTTCCCCTTTTGTATGTTGAAGTTCTCATGCCGATTCTGTTCATGCCGTGCTGTCACGACTGTCCACGGACCTGTGTGATACATACGTCCATGTTCCCAATGATCTATAACAAAGATGCTTCTTGAGGGTTGCCTTCCTGGGACAGGTGTACCAGTTCAAAGTTCTCCCCTTCAGGCTGTCTCTAGCCCCTCTGCGGGCCAGAGGTGACAGGGTTCTTCTATAATTGGACAACTGACTCAGCTGTGCCTCCACCAAAGAACAGGCTTTGCAGGACACATAGTCTTCTCTCGCACATACCTGAAATCTGATCCTCACAGTGAATTCTCAGAAGATTTCAACACTGAGGCAAGTCACTCACTTTATTGGCATACGGCTGGATTCAGAAAGAACAATCGCTTCCCTCACGCCACACACCAGCAATGTGCGACTGGGCTGTTATGTTCAATTTCGACTCCCAAGAATGCCAGG